TCTATGTTATGGTTTACTTTGTGAGTTGCAATGTTAAATGACACACTAAGGAATTACTAGTTTGTCGCTGCCACATGATACAGAGACTTTATACATGGTCTCATATATACAGAGAATTTATACATGATCATATATAGAGAATTTATACATGATCATATATATACAGAGAATTTATACAACGCAAAAGCATCACAAGCGATGTTTACATGAACATGACCATTAAGTGTTCAACAACTCAAAAGCCCTTTGAACTAGCTGGCTATCACAACTTAGAGTTGTAGGGAGCATGCCTTGTGCCTCTAGCCTCTCTTTGTTCATGTGAGGGATCTTGCACTATACCTATTGCCTCCATTATCCTTCATAACTTCAATCATGCATGTTTGTAGTGTGAGGAATACCCTATTGAGAAGGATGGGGTTGTAGTTTTGATATTCAATGTACACATTCTGGATGAGCTCGTCCATGTTTCTAGATGTCGTTCTATTCGTTAGCGACTGAAGAGAAGCAAAGAAACCAAGGTCAAGGTAGTTCATATCAGGAGAATTAGGAGGTTGGTTCATTAGGCGTATATCGAGGCCTGTTCGGGCTACTGCTGCAGCAAAAACTGCATCATCTACTGGTACATGAGAAGGAGCATTGTCCTGTTGTATCCATATTGTGTCATGCCTTGCTTCTCTAGGCCAACGAGCTTGTATTGCTGGTATGAGTTTGCCAATCATATAAGTTCTCATTATTTGTCTATCAACCTTCATGGTCTTTGTGATAGGTGTGCCCCTTAATCTGTTGCCACTTCTCCTTTTTGCTGGTACCTGTAATTAAAAAGAATGTTATTTCAAATAACATAAAAGGGATTGCAAGTATTATTCAAACAGAGATTAGTACCGTTCGCACAAAAGCCCATATGCCTAGCTTCCCATCAAAATAGCAACTGCAACTCCCTTCAGCATCAAACCTGGGCTTTCCAACAGCAGAATAAAACATGACTTTGTGAATGGCATTCTTATTTTGCAATGTCCTATGTGGGTCTTCTTCATCTAGATGCATGTACATAGTCATATTCTTCTTTGTCCCATTGAACCACTTCTCATCTAAGTGAATAATATTTTTCATTTCCTTGAACTTGGGATTGTCTGGTAGAGTACTTTCTTCTAGCATAGAGAGAACCCACCGCAGCCTTGCATGTTTGTTTTCTTCCTTCAAATAAGGCTTCAATAAGGTAGAGTGTCATCGTAGCAAGCCTTCTTTGAACAACCTATGTAGAGAGCTTTTATTGATATTAAGAGTAGTTGCTAGTGACCTTATGTTACCCCTTCTGTTTAAGGGAATATCAACAACCCTTGTGAGGTCCACTTGAATTTTTTTACGACCACAATTCTTAGGTCGCAAAGATTTGACATCTACTGGTATGCCTTGTTCCAAACACTTTTTTCTCTCTGCCATACCCGTTGTATTGTACACACATGGATATTGTACTTTGCAGCAATAAGTGTTGTGCAGTCTCTTTTTAATTTGCCATTATTGTTTAATCGAAGCAAATCTTCATAAATGTCTTGTCATTCTCTTTCTGTCAAAATCCTGACCATATTTGTTGCTTCTTGCTGGGTTTGTTGATCTTCGTCGTTATCCGAGTCAGACAACTCCTCTTCATCAAATATGATATCAACAACATCTGTGTACACGCCGAAGTCTTGTATGAGATGGTCCCAGGTATCATGTTCTGCTTGTAAGGCAGTGTTGTCATTTCCTACAAAAAAAATATAGATGGTGTGTGTTGATTGTCATTAAATAGATTATCAAACTTTTCACAGGGACAATTATTCTTGCAAACATGACATGAACCTAAGGAAAATAATCACCTGCATGCAGGTTTCCTTGTTGTTCTACTAGTGGATCATTCAAATCAAATGGATGGCCAACATTTTCACCTGTACGAAAATGATGATTATGAAAGGCATTGTCACCCCCCACAGCTGATAAAGAGAATCCCTGCTGCACGAGTTTCAGGTGATAGATAAATAAAAACTAAAAATTCGCAGATGTTGCTTGTCATTTTAGTAGAGAGGAAGTAAACATGCCCATGCTATTTTAGGATAGAGGTTACATAGAACAAGTGGTACAGAAAAGAGTTTCAGGTGACAAAAGATAGTAATGACTAAATTCCCTGATGTTGCTTATGATTTTTAGGATAGAAATAAACCAGCACACTAATTTTAGGAGGGAGAGGGAGAGGGAGTGTGTGTGTGTGTGAGAGAAAAAGCTTGAAACAGCACTCAGATTTGGATACAAGCAAACGTGCTTACCTTGATGAATTTATGCTTGTTCATGAATTTGATCAGGATGGAGACCAAAGCGACCAGATCCCCCAACTTTAATTGCATCCACTACATCTTCGAAGGGATTATGATCCTCTTCATGTTCATCAGGCTTCTTGTTGAGATCTGGCAACTCCTTCCCTCCCTCTGGTACTGTGTTCAAGTCTATTGCCATGAAGGATGCATGAGGAATGGTTCAAATGAGTGGAACGAAGGGTTACCAGGCTTTATTGGCATAGGAGTTAGAGAAATGGCGCTGGAAGCACCAGTTTCAAATTTTAGTTTGCCTCTTCTATGTAAAAATGGAGCGCACTAATATTTTTTTGCGCCAAGTGCTGTTTGCCGCCCACGATTTGGTGTAATGTTTGGTTTTATTTAAGTCCAAAATAACGTAGTGCATGTGTAACTGTAGAAAAAGTTGATGTGACAACTATGTTTTGTTTACTGTAAAAAAATGTTTGTGTGTGGCATGCCTGCTTCTAATCCAAGAATGAGCATTAATGGCCTGTCCATTCACAGCAGGTGAATGTATTGTACTCCGTATTTTACAGGGGTGTTCAGGTGTGTCGCTAGGTTCCTTAATTCCTGAGGCAAAATCTTTAAGGGATGGAGGGGCCTGCTGACACATGTTTTCATCTGCATTCGTTTGAAAAATATATTTTGTAATTTGTTCTGAAATTGTTGAACAATTTATAAATAATTTGACATATATTTTCTGATATCTGCTATCCATAAAAATAATTTTTTCGAAAAATTTGACATATATTTGTATTATCCCCAAATTATATCACTATGTTCAATAAACTCTATCGAAGAAATCGTTGTAAATATAGTAAAAAGACAGTGTAAATATAGCTATAAGATAATGCAAGTGTATAGGTAAAAATCTAGTTATTGGAAGAGGCTAAAACAACTAGTTGGCTAGATAGACTCAATAATAACCACAGGATGGTTTCACATAACAAAAAACAACCAAGTCGTCTTAGCGCAACAGCTTAATCACTCTACAAAATAGCATTGCAGAGATCTATCCGAATGGATGCCTCCTATTAATAATCAATAAAAAACACAGTTCAGTTCATTCATTCTTTTGTTCTTTACATTCAAACGCATAAACGGGGAAGCTCGCTAAAGAGCATTTCTCCCGCTGTGCAAGAAAAAGACGGAGATGAAAGCAGCGCTGCCTTCCTCCCGAGTGAATGCATCGTGAAGACATTCCTCCCGAGTGACTGCACCACGAAGGCATGACGTAGCCATGCCCAAGAATTTTCTGAGAATGGGAAAATCTTCGGTGAAGGCTTGAAAGTTGGCCTGGCTTCTGTTAACTGAAGGCAAAAACTTTTACACAGGCCCCGTTCGCGTGCTTTAAATCCGGTTTGATCCGCTTCTTTTTTTATTCGGAAAAGTATTTTCCTCCCACAGATTCCTCCAAACCATCTAAATTCCTCCAGAACCATACCATCCGAACGGGGCCTGTACTAGACCGTTTGTCCATCCCAGTTTGGGGGTGGGGGGGGAATCGAATTCTGAAACATTACACATGCGTGCATCACATTCTGGAACGGAACGAAGAAATCCGATGCTTGTGCCTGTACCTCAATGCAGTTTAACAAGAGCAGTAAAATATTGTACCAGAAACATGGAATTCAACCTACAGAAAACTTGGTTCCTCAGTCTCAGCTAAAAGAGAAAACAAAACTAACCAAAAGATTCAGTCGATTTATACGTCAAATGCATACACATACAAAAAAAAAACACAAAAAAAGATTCAGGAAATGCAGACGCTGTAGGGGATTCTTTGACCCTTATGATCAGCATATGGCACCCTAACATAACCTCTATACTGTGCTCCAAGTAACATAATTAGTACCTAGACCTCGAGAGTTGATCACAAATGCCACGGTTTTCACATGCAATGGATAATGCAAGTGAGAGCTCGAGCAAAATAGGCCTCATCTTCTGTTTTGGTGGATGGTAACTTTACAGTTATCACGCAAATTAACTGGGGCATCCATGCCGCCACTTAACTGCTCTATGATCAAGCACTAGAATAGCTTCGTGGATGAACAACACATCTTTTGTTCAAGGGAAAGAATTGTGAAGAGGAAAAACAGTTCGAACAGTCCAGCAATGTTCAGCTGTTTTGTTTCAAAACCATAAAATCACTTCAGAACCATAAAAGACAAGCAATCATACGGATGTACATGGCCAGAAATATATGGCACCTAATGAAGAGCCTTATCTGAGATAAACTACAGCAATGAGAAATGGACACTTGGACGACCTTTCAATATCGGTGTTATATAAATGGTAAAACAAAGTGCATGATCCCAGACACTTTTCAGCTCAGGAGTTGATCACATGGGCTTACTAAAATCTAAAATCTTGATCAACACGAATGTTTCCCCATTCAAGTTTTAAGAGCAGCAAAATCCCATATTCACTGGACCAGATCACTGAGGCATTAAAACAGAACTCATTGTACCCAACTAAAGAGCACATCAAACATCTTACATTCATACAGACCAGTTGGTTACTACCACTATCACAACACATAAACTAGAAACAGATAGCAAAGAAGCTAGTTAATTTAAGCTCCATCTACTAACAGTAAAGCCTCATGCATAGATAATTAGATACTCAAAAGTATAAATTAGTAGGTGGAATGATGGAAAACCATATTACACTCTACAGCCCCCTGAAGAAAGGTGGACCACGTGCAGCTCTATTCTCTTGCTCTCGGAAGAGTGCATGTGGAACAAGGCTTTCTCTGAAAACCTTTGCAGTGAAGTTTAGCAAGCGGCCATTGCATTGAAATTTTTCCAGTAAATTGCCATTTCTGTCAAAGTGCAGCTGCCAATCAAAACCATCAACCAGCACATCTCCCTTGCGGGATAGAATATGCGAGCACCAACCTTCATCTTCTTCAAAGCGGCTTATCTCGATGACTGGCAATTCAATGCAATACTTGTGGACCCATACCCCACCTCTGTAGTCCTGCAGAAGCCAAAGATTCACCTTTGATCCACCGATATTACTGTTTGATATTGCAAGCATGCCATCAATCTCAAGCAACGATGACACCAAAGCCAAATTCTTAACAGGTGCATGCAACAACCAGAACACTTCACCTATGGTGTCGAACACCAGTATGTCTCTGCAATTGGGCAAGGAAATCAGCCAGTGCAGGTTGCCATGGAATAGGAAAGGCTCTTTAAAGTCTATAGCATCAGATTCTGCTGCTATCAATTTTCTCACGAATACCAACGATGAATGGGGCCTAATGCACCTCTCATTCCCCGATCCCACCGTGCTGATGTAGAATGTAGTTTCCAAACCAATTTCTCGGTAGTACAATACTCGGTACTCGGAGCCATGAACATAAAGCCCAGCAGCCTTGACCTTGACATGTTTAAGCGCGGGTGAGAAGACGGAAACCCACTGACGAGTGGTCGGATTGCTGAGATACAAACGATTTCTGAACGACATGAGCAGGAGACCATCGCAAGCACCGTGGACGGAGAACGGTCCGTCACTCACCAACGGGTCGTAGTAGTCGAAGGTGAACCGAACGACGGACCGGAACTCGTGCTTGCGGAAGTCAAGAGCTTCGACGCAGTAGTCAACAAGTCTCAGGTTGTCGTAGTGAGTTCCCACGTCGCGGACGAAGGTGAAGAGGCGCCGCTGAGGTTGGCGGCGGTGGTGGGAGATGAGGAAGGTGCGGTCGGAGGTGATTCGGCGCCATGCCTTGCAGACGGCGCGGGACAGGAGGACGGATTTCGGCGGCAGCAAGAGGAAAATCTCCGAGAGGATCTCTTCAGGGAGGTTGGCGATGTTGAGGGTACTCCGCCGCAACTCTGTCGGCCTCGTGGTCTCCGCCATTGCCACCGAGTGGGAGCCAGGTGCACGAAGTAACAACGGATGACTCGGGTTACGATCCTAAAGCTGCTCCCTCGCCCTGAGATGCATCAAAATCTCCATGTGAACGGGAGGAAAGATACAAAATAGGGTTCCAAACCAAGATGAGATTCAACGAAAATCCATCTGAAGAATGTACTGGGATCGAAGCTCACCTCACTCTGGAAGTCACCAGTCATCTTCCTCTAACACGATCTGCTCAACTTCCTCAAGTGGCGGCGGCGGCGGCAGGCGGGCAATGAGAAACGCGAGCTTCAACCTTTTCCCCGTCTGGGTGAACAGACAGCTAGCGTGCGCACCGCATGTGTCAGCGAGGCCTTCGTCGAGCAAAGTAATAAAGCCCAAAAGGTTCGGGTACTCTTATTGGGCCTTATCCACACATCAAAGCAAACACTGATAAGCATCCAGGCTGACGATTTCATGGACCAATTCCTATAGACATACATAATTACATATACATGATTCACCACGAAAGAAATTCGCTCGCAATAACGTTCATCAGTCTTCCAATTCAAAGAAGGCATTCATCAGGAATTCAGGATTCTGCACCTTTGGTTCCACAAAGCAAGGATCCATGTGAAATAATTACTAAGCAAAATCGGCAGTGAAACATGTGCCATAGTCTTCATTCCTGAATCTGCAATACCTAAATCTACTCGCCATCAAAGCCATGTAACAGAAGACTCATATTACATGTCTATTTTGCATTTTGCATGACTGTCATTGGGGCCAGTATTGACTTATTGACAGTCTCACATGCGATGAAATAATAATCACAGTGAAATGGACAGTTTCACATGACAAAAACTAACAGAGGCGTCTTCACGCTACAGCTTAAGCACTCTACAAAGAAGCACTGCAACAAGAAGAAACATTATACACTAGCTAGAATGCAAAATGGGCTAGGAAATTCAGTGAGTGCACGGCTCAGCACTTTGAAACGACACCAAATTCAGGCCGCAATGAATAGTTCCATCACAACTCTGGTAACAGATACCAGAAGCATAAGGCACCTTTCCTTAATACGTAGATCAGAACCAAATATAGGAATTCCATGCTGCACCAAAAAAAAAAAATACAGACCTACTGACGTACAAAAACAGTTTTCCTTCTATTACCCAAAATTCTTAAATGCACAGAATTGTATTCCTAAATTGTGGACAAGTAAACGTAATACTGTAGAATACCTAAGTATCAGTATCAACTCAGTTTTCACAGAATCGTATCAGTTTTGACTAATACACCGAAGTATCAGTGCTACTCGCCTAGGACTGCAGCAATTGTGGTGCAGGCAGATTTGCCTTATCCCAATCATGCTGTGAAAACTTGAACATTTCCAGCACAATGTGTGTTTATTAATAAAATGTTCAAATCAGAGAAATGCATGCAGCTAAAGAGAACAGTAAGCCCTGATCATGTCTTTCATGTTGCCAAGGCAGCCAACAGTCTGAAACTCTGAACTCTGAAACATAAGGTTCATATCAGCTTTGCGCAAGAAGAAGATATTAGTGTCAGATGAAAATGTCTCTCCCGTTTTCCAAATCAAGAGTGACGATCCAATATCATGACCACACAGCCAAAACTCTCATAGAAATCATAGCCCAATCTCAATAGTCATCAGAGGAAAGGTGGTTTGTTGGGACTATGGTTCTTCATCCCAAGCGATGCATGAGGAACAAGGCTCCGCTTAAGCATATGTGGACCAATCTCTAGCAAGCTGCAATCACACGGCAAATTTGCCACTGAATTGCCCTCCCTGTCATATCCCAGCAGGCGATTCATGAGATCAACCAGCACATCTCCCTCATGGGACACAACAACAGCAGTCCACAAATCGAGCAATCCAAGGAAACGGCTGATATCTTCCACCGGCAATTCAATGCGGCACTTGCAGACCCAAACATTGGATTTGTAGTCCTCCAGAAACCACAGATCAACCCTTGAGGGCCCGTCATCCCCGAAAGTCTCGCTCCAGCTACTTGACATGGCAAGAACACCCTCCATGTCAAGCAGCTTCACATTTGAGACAAGCTGGTTGTTCACGTTGACGGCAGGAGAAGGCATCAACCGGAACACTTCGGCGACCGTGTCGAAGACGGCTATGGACTCGGGTCTTGACGAGACAGGGGGCCAGTGAAGGTTGCCATGGAGGAGGACGGGCGGTGTGTGCCGCGCAAACCAGGTGTGCCATGAGGAGTGTACTGGGGATACCTGACGACTGACCAGCCTCTGCTTCCTGGTGCCTGTCACACCCCTGGCCGCGGCGGGTCACCGGCGACGTGAGCGGAACAGCGGGATTTGACGGAACCCTGGCGCCGGCGGGCAAGCCCCTGCCTTGGCGTCGTGTGTATTACTGAATGTCTGAATGAGCGTTCATACAGAGTAATGCAGGCACTTATGCTGCTTACAAATTCTGTCCAGTGGACCCAACTGGTCATACTCTACTATGAAAACGTAAAAGCAACAATGCGTAAATAGAACAGCTTGGCGCCTTCACGCGGGTGTGACACCTCCCCCGGCGCGAGAATCAGCTTGTCCCCAAGCTGGAGCATCAGGAAAACGAGCTTTGACGACGTAGTAGTCTTCCCATGTCGATGTTGATGCTGGTAGCCCTGTCCACTGAATCTTTACCTGAGGGACTGCAGCATTGCCCTTCTTCACCATGCGGCGCTCCAGGACGGCCCGAGGAACCGTTTGTGCAGCTTCGAGATCTGTGAGCACCGGTGTCGTGTCATAAACAGGGGAGTGATCCGGGGTGTAGGGCTTGAGCTGGGAGATGTGAAACACTGGATGGATATGGGAGTTCTCTGGCAGTTGTAGCTTGTAGGCAACTTGACCAATACGCTGAAGAATGGTATAAGGGCCATAGTACTTGTAAGCCAATTTTGGGAAGGGCCTGTTGGCCACAGATGATTGAGTATAGGGCTGTAGTTTCAGCAGGACCTGATCCCCCACCGTGAACTGAAAATCTGTTCTTTTAGTATCTGCAGTTTGTTTCATCCTATTTTGAGCCTTGGCTAGATGTTCTTGCAGGGACTGAAGATGGAACTTCCTGTTCTGAATGACTTCGGTAACCTCAGGAGTGGTGTCTGGTGTAAGAGTTGGTATGGCACCCAGATTAGCATCATAACCATAGAGGGCTTTGAAAGGTGTACAGCCTAGTGATGAGTGCAGTGAGGTGTTGTACCATAACTCTGCCAATGACAGCCAAGATTTCCATGTTGATGGGGAGTCATGAACTGCACATCTGAGATACATCTCAAGGCATTGGTTGACCCTCTCAGACTGCCCATCTGTTTGAGGGTGATAAGCCGTACTGAGGTTGAGTTGAATCTTGTATTTGGTGAATAGTTGTTTCCAAAAGTTGCTGACAAAAATTGGATCTCTGTCAGTTGTGATGGACAGTGGGAATCCATGGAGCTTAACTATATTGTCCAAGAATGTTTGAGCTATAGTAGCTGCTGAGTATGGGTGTTTGAGGGCTAGAAAGTGGGCATACTTTGTCAATCTGTCTACAATGACCAGGATGACACTGAAACCCTCTGATTTGGGGAGACCTTCTATGAAATCCATGGTGAGATCTTGCCAGACCCCTTTAGGTGTTGGTAATGGTTGGAGCAGGCCCATTGGATGCTGCAGGGAGTGTTTAGCATGTTGGCAGATGTTACACTGCTTGACAAAGTTTTCTACATCAGTTTTCATGCCCTTCCAGGAGAAATGCTTCTTCAGTCGGTAATAAGTTGCTGCTACTCCTGAATGTCCTCCAAGTGCACTGGAATGAGAGTGTGCAATTAGCTTTGTCTGCAGAGCTGAGTTATTACCTATCCAGACTTTGCCATTGTGCCAGATGAGACCTTTATCCAAACTATACCCTTGGTTGTCTGGACTGGTGATGGAGAGCTTCTGAATGAGAGTTTGAGCATGGCTATCTGTGGCATAGGAATTGAGAACCTCCTGTACCCATGTTGGTTGCACTGTTGAAACAGCTTGTATGGCCATGAGATGGCCAACTCTGGATAAGGCATCTGCTGCTTGGTTGTCTTTTCCTTTTTTGTACACTATCCTGAAATTGAGGCCCATCAGTCTTGTCATTGCCTTCCTCTGCATGTCAGAATGGAGGTTCTGGTCTTTGAGAAAGGCTAAGGACTTGTGATCAGTTTGGATTGTGAACTCGCCTCTCTCTAGGTAGTGTCTCCACTTGTCGACAGCCATGATCAGGGCTAGGAATTCCTTTTCATATATGGAAAGGGCTTTGTGTTTTTCCCCCAGAGCTTTGCTCAGGTAGGCAACTGGTTGGCCCTTTTGCATAAGGACAGCCCCTATACCATCCATACATGCATCTGTTTCCACTGTAAAGGTTTCCTGGAAATTTGGTACTGCTAGTACCGGTGTTTCAGTCATTGCCTGTTTGAGAGCATGGAATGCTGACTGGGCTGCTGGATTCCAGGCAAATGACTTGAGTTTCAAGATTTGAGTCAGTGGTTTAGCCAGTGTACCATAACCTTTGACAAATCGTCTATAGTATCCTGTCAGACCCAGAAAGCCTCTCAATTCAGTCATTGTAGTTGGTGTTGGCCACTTGAGCATATCAGAGATTTTGCTAGGATCAGTGGACACTCCGCTAGCAGAAATGATGTGGCCTAGGTATTCCAATCTATCCTGAGCAAAGGTACATTTGGACTGTTTGAGGTGTAGGTGATGCTTCCTTAGTGTTTGCAACACTTGCTCCAAGTGGTGAAGATGCAGGTCCATTGATGGGCTATATATCAAGATGTCATCCAGAAAGACCAATACAAATTTTCTGAGAAAGGGTTTCAATACTTCGTTCATGACACATTGGAAGGTTGCTGGAGCATTGGTTAAGCCAAAGGGCATGACCCTGAACTGGTAGTGCCCTTGATGTGTTTTGAATGCTGTCTTGTACTCATCTTCTGGGAGCATTCGAATTTGGTGATAGCCAGCCTTCATGTCTAACTTGGTGAACACTGTGGATCCTGAAAGTTCATCTAAGATCTCTTCAATCACTGGCATAGGGAATCTATTCTTGATAGTCATGTCATTGAGCTTCCTATAGTCAACACAAAATCGCCAAGTTCCATCCTTTTTTTTGACAAGGAGGACTGGGGAAGCAAATGGGCTATGGCTATGTGTAATAAGGCCTGCCTGGAGGAGCTCTGTTACTTGTTGTTCGATTTCTGTCTTGTGGGCAGGGGAGTAGTGATAGGGTCTGGCATTGATTGGTATGGAATCTGGTGTTAAAGGAATTGCATGGTCATAGGTTCTTTGTGGTGGAAGAAGTTTGGGGTCTGTGAACACATCTTTGTATAGTGCCACAAGATGTTGAATGGTCTCATCAGGTGGAGAAGGTTTGGGGTACTGTGAGTAGTTTGGATGGGGTAATTGTTCCAGCAAAACATAGGCCCAGAGGTCATTCCCTTTTGTAGCCTTATATACCTTGTGTGCAGAGATATTAGCAATTTGGAGAGGTGGGGCACTGATCCCTTGAAGCTGAATGAGTTTGCCTTGCTCCTGAAACTGTAGTGTTTTGTTTTCCCAGTCACATGTCATAGGACTGTGAGCACGAAGCCAATCAAAACCCAAGATGGCATCATATGGGTGCATGTCCAGGACAATCATATCTGTTGTGAAGGTCTGTCCCTGGCAATAGCATTGAAGTTGAGATACCATACTGTTGGTAGTAATCCATTCCCCATTAGCCAGTTTCACCTTTCTAGGTGAGATTGGAATTGTTGGTATATTAGCCAATGTCACAAACTGAGAGTTGATGAAGCTATGAGTGCTCCCACTGTCCACCAGAATGAGCATAACCTTGTTTTTGACCCTGGTTTTGAGTTTGATGCAATCTGGTTTGTCTTGGCTAGACAAAGCATTGAGGGATAATTGGCAGAATTCTTCATGTAGAGCGTCCTCCATAGTCAGTTCACTGAGAACCTCATCACTGAGTTCTCTGTCCAAGTCATTGAATGCCAAAGCATTGACTTTTGGTTTGTTTCTGACTTTGCAGACCTCTAGGTGTCCAGGAATAAATTTCTCCCCACAACTGTAGCATAAGTTATTAGCTTTTCTGTAGTCCCTTAGTTGCCTGTCCTGCCACAGAATGGAGGATTGAGAGGCAGGCTTGGGATCTGTCCTGTTCTGGTAGGGTCTTAGTGTATATTGTTGTCTTGGGTACTTGGACTTCCCCCTGTCCAGTGTTCTTTGTTGTATCTTGGCTAGAATTGAAGCCTGCAAGACATCTGGAGGTCTATGAGCCTCCACCATGCCTCTGATATCCTCTTTGAGACCCATAACATACTGCTGTGAGAAGAACATGTCATCATACCCTGCATTGTGCATTGTGACACTATACTGTAGTGCTTGGAATTGTTCTGTATACTCATCAATAGATCCAGTCTGTTTGAGTGCCAACAGGTCCTGCATAGATGATCTGAAATCATCAGACCCAAATTCTTGGTCTATAACTCCACAGAAGTGTGTCCAACTCCTGAATGTGTTCTTCTGCTTGAATGCTTGATACCATTTGCCTGCCTTCCCTTTTAGATGCATTCTGGCTGCAGTGACCCACATGCCTTCAGGGATTTGGTAAAGGTCGAAGTAGTCTCTACAATTGTCTAGCCAGACCTTTGGGTCAGAACCTTCAAAATTAGGGAAATCCATTTTAGGCATGGCTGGCCTAGGTAAGGCATAAGATTTGTGCTCTTGTCCTTTAGTTTCTGGCCTCGTCTCATTCTGTTGGTATTGCTTGGGATTTGTTTTGTGTTGCCTGGATGGTTGTGCTTTGCCTTGCATGGTATCCTTGGCAAACACATTGTGAAAGGAGGCATTGTCATCCAAAATCAGAGAATCTACATCTTCTGTATCTGAGTGATGATGTTGACCATATTGAGGTTGATCAGGTTTCTTGGACTCCTCCTCCATTTGCCGGAGAGTGACTCTGGCAATGGCTTCTCCATTGGCTTGAACTTGCTGAGAAATGAGATGTTGTTCGTTAGTGTATTCATCCATAGCTGCCGCTGTGAGGTCCAGCTGTGCTTTCATTTGCT